CTTGGGAAGATAATTTAGGTTGCCTTATCTACTGCCCTTTATCATATGGAAATTCTGTCTAATGCTAAATTCTGTTTGGTAAGAAAACATGACTATTTTTCTGTTTAATTGAGTTACTTAAAACATACTTGTTTTAATATAGAGAAAGCTTTACATTACTGAGGTAAACCTGGATGCTATTTTATTATTTGTAGCTAAAACTCATTAGAGCATTAGACTAAAATCAGCCATATGATAATTATGTTTAAAAACAACAGCTAACTTAACGTGGAATGCTTATCATGAGTTAGATGTTATGCTAAGATTTTAAGTGATTTATCTCCTCTAACTCTCAAGCCAATTCTATGAGGTACAATTGTTATCCCTAAATTATAGATGAGGAAATTAAAGGTTCAAGATCTTAAATAATTTACCCAAAGTCATACTGTTAATGAATGCAGAGTTCAGATTCACTTTCTGAACTACACATAGTGACTTGATGCTACTTTCTTCTAAAATTGTTCCAAAATTGAATTGAAAGGCACGATTTCATTACATATGAAGTATATTTATTTTGTTGACACAATAGCATCAACTGCCTCTGTAGCTGTGCTTGCCAAAATTGCATATTGAAATAATGTTTTGAAATAATGTTTTAAAATAATGATATGTAAAAAATATGAAATAGAAACAATCTGGACCCACAAACCACATTTTCTGTTCTGTGATTATGCTGGGATAGAAAGGGAAATTATAAAATTCAAGGAAAGCAAAGAGATTTTGTAAACATTTTCTAAGGCTGCAAGATGATTGCTTTTACTATTTTGAATAAAATAAGAATATTTAAAACTTTAAAGTAGGTAAAATTGGTTGCAGGTTAGTATTTGAAAAAGCATACATTATTTTAGGGCTTCATTTGAACAAATCATGTTTACCAATTACATGTTTTTGGTTTTCATTTACAAGTTGCTTTTATTTGTACCAATCTACTTACATGTGTTAATGAATATGTTTAGAAGAAAACAATATGCATCATCAGAAAAATCTGAGCCATTTTTCCACCAGACATTGATAGAAACCATATGTTAGTTAGCATCAGTCTGCATTTGTTTAAGTTGCACAGTGCCTGGAGGTAGAAATGGAAGAAATTAAAGCAAAAGATTAGTACTGTAGACAGTAGGACATATTTACACAACAAAAAATGAAATGATGTGGCGAGGGTCCAGTTTACTACAATTTGGGCAGCTAACCTGGATATCAGAGTTTCCAAAGCAGAAGTATTTGGTCTGAATTATATAGGGTGGATTATATAGTTTGACCACATTATTTGGATAATTGCTTAAAACACTCTTAAAAAACTTCAATGTCTTTGTAATGAAATATTCTTAAGAATGCATAAGAATATTTCTTAATGAATATTTAATGAATACTTAATATGCCTATTAAATATTCTTTGTAATGCATCTTCTTAAGAACTTGTTTTATCTTGATATTAAGTAGTCAACTTCAAGGGAATTTCATTGTATTATTTCAAAACTTTGTCCATAATGATATTGTTGGGTCTTAAAAAGAGAAATATGGTATATCCTTTTGTCCCATAATAAGAGAATAAGAAGTCATTTGTGTGTGTGTGTGTGTGTGTGTGTGTGTGTGTGTGTGGTTGTACTCACAATAATAACATTTTTGAAAAAAAATATATACCAGCAGTTCATTTTTAAGTACTTACCTTTCAAGATGAATTGAGGTCGGAGCAGGGTTACAAAACAGGGAATTCTGAGAGAAACAGAAATGCAGACCCTTATAAAGGACATTTAACTTTATACAAAGAGGATTAAACTTTAACTGTATACAAGAGGATTAAATTTGTTTTTAACTAACTACAGTTAGCATTTTATTTTACTCCCTTCCAATCTTTACACATGTGAATATTATTAATATAAACAGTTAAAATATAAATATTTATATTATAGGTTCCTACCTCCTTTAAGTTCTTCTATCATGTATTACTATTTATTTTATTTCATTTTTAATTGACATACAATAATTATACATATTTATGGGATACTAGTGATTTTTAGCAATCTGTAATATATAGTGATTAGATCAGGGCAATTAGCATATCCATCACCTCAAATATTTATAAATTCTTTGTTTTGGGGAAATTCAATATCCTCCTTCTAGGTATCTTTTTTTCCAATTTTTTTTATCATGCAATATTTAAATCCTTCTAGCAATTTGAAACTGCATAACATTTTTAACTATATTCATCCTACAGTGATACAGAACTCTAGAATGTATTCCTCTTATCTAGCTGTAATTTTGTATCATTTAATAAATTTCTCCTTTTCTCCACCTTCCCCTTACCCTTTAAGCATCTAGTTCTACTTTCTTCTTCATGCAATCAATTTTTTTTAAGCTTTCACAAATAAGTGAGATCATGCAGTCTTTCTTTCTGTTCCTGGCTTATTTCATTTAACATAGCGTCCTCTAGTTATATCAGTATTGTAGTGAATGACAGAAATTCATTCTTTTTCTATGGCCAACTAGTTCTGTTTTTGAAAGTCTTCTTTAATGTTTGTTTTCATTTGTTCCAACTTACTTCTTACAACTATATCTTATTTGTTGTCTAAACAAACCTTCTCAATCTTTTCATCATAGTTTGAAAACTATGAAATTCTGTTGTTTATATATATGTCTTAGACAATGGACTTAGATATACGTGTGTTCAGCAGAAAATGATAAAATTGCCCAGTTAAGACAAATGCTTTATTTTTATTCCCCGTGATGGTAGCTGAGTTACTTATATTGTAATACTAAAAACATGTGTATTTGCATGGATAAGCAGTTCCTCCCTAAACAATGCTTGGCACTCAATAGGCATAGGGTAAGCTCAAAGCAGGCATTTTAAAGTAAGACCATGTGGGCCGGGCGCTGTGGCTCATGCCTGTAATCCCAGTACTTTGTGAAGTCGAGATGGGCAGATCACGAGGTTAGGAGTTCGAGATGCCTGGCCAACATGGTAAAACCCTGTTTCTATTAAAAATACAAAAATTAGCTGGGCGTGGTGGTGCATACCTGTAATCCCACTACTCAAGAGGCTGAGGCAGGAAAATTACTTGAACCAGGGAGGCAGAGGTGGCAGTGAGCCGAGATCATGCCACTGGACTCCAGCCTAGGCAACAAGCAAGATTCCGTCTCAAAATAATAACAATAATAATAGAAAAATAAGACCATGTGGACAAATTTTATATGTTCATAACTTCCATCATGGAACAGTGATTAATTACAGAAATAAACCACACATAATATAACTCATTTGAAAAGAACATTGCTTATTAGACTTTTTCTGATATTCATTAATACTCTTCAAGATCAATGAACAGAAAGTAATATGTCACTGCTGTGGCATTTTATCAAAAGTAGGATGGTCCTTCTTCCAGTGTTGAATTTCCCTAAGTAATAGCAGAAATCATTCCATTCCTTTGTTCAAAACATTCAAAATCTATAGAATGTTATCAATAATTTATAGATAAGGTTTGATTACTGCCTGCCTTACTATTCCTATAAACTATAAAAAGTCAAGCCAAAGTAAGCTACTATTTAATATGAAAATACTAGCTGGTCCCAGTTGTTTCTATTTTGATGGATTCCAGCTGGATTTCACATATTTATTGTTATATGACTGTCACACACATTCAGCAGTCATTCCAAGAGCCATCGTGCCCATGAATCCTTTCATAGAAGACTTGTAGAAGGCATACATTGACAATTTATAAATATTGATTTGGATTAAATATCCCTCCAGACTCTTTACTAGAGCTATATATAGAATCACAGACCTACAGTTGGAAGAAAGGCAATTTCAGAGGCAATATACTCTAAACTGCATTTTTTAAAATATGGAAAACCTTGGCACCCCATCCTAATTCTAGTATCCTGGGCACACAGTCTATTTAAGATAAAGAAATGCAGTGATAAAATTGGGTAAAAATCTCCTCAAAGTTTCCAAAATAGAAGGCTTTGCATTATATTTGGTGGATTATGTATGTTGACCATATTAATTACATATTTTTTTAAAAACACACATCACAAAATTTTATGCCCATAATGAAATAATTCCTCAGGTCTTCCTTCATATGAGTTCATATTTGACATTAAGTATTCAGGTTCAAATGTATCCCATGCTATTATTTTAAAACTTTATGCATAATAAGCCTTTGAGTAAATGTTTTATGAAGGAGGTAGTACAGGTAGTCATATGTGGACGATCTTCTTAGAGTCAAGATGGATTCAATCTAAGAGTGACACCACTTATCATTACTGATGTTTTTTCTTAAAGTCTACTTCTATGCAAACTACACAGTAAACTCTTTTGTTTTATATAAGGGGAACTCTAGTAAAATGTGGTCCTATTTTTACCTTATATATGGCTGCACCAATTTCAAAAATTCAGTAAAGTTGAGAAAATCTCATTGGTTGCTAAGTTTATATTTTTATCAATTCATTTATTCTGAATACATTGTTATTTTATTGCAGGTTAGTCTGTGTATCACTGCTATCACAACAAAACACATAGTTATATGTAAACAGAATAATATATATGGTGTAATGAAAAAAGAATTATGCACATGAGAATCTGACAGCACATACAGTGTTCAAATTAATTAGCTGCCTAAGTTTTGATCATTTATCTAACTTTACTAAATCTCAATGTTTGCAAAATGAATTAAAGTATTCATTGTGTTCAGAAATTAAGACAGAAAGTCATGTAGAGGTCTTGTACAAGCAAATTTTCTATCCCTTTGTATATCTACTTCTACTGAAGCAACTCATTTCTCTCTAGGTTTAAGTAGTTACATGTTTTCCCTAATTAAGGTTTCATAATAAATGAATCTTAGGGAGAAAAAAATTCTTTCAAAAGTGGAGCAGCTACTGTGAGTTGGGAATGTATCTTGTTTGAATAATGATTAATATAAAAATTTCATTATGTCAACATGCCCCTTGTTTTTCTTGCTTTCTAGGAGCCTAAGTTGCCAAAGGATTACCTTACACAAAAATCTGTTCTTCTCGTTTGTTTGTAACTCTGTTGTAACAATCATTCACCTCACTGCAGTGGCCAACAACCAGGCCTTGGTAGCCACAAATCCTGTAAGTAAAACAAGATTGTGCCCTTGGTTCCAGGGCCTAATGGGAAAGGGGGAACATGGTTGACATATGCATGATGTGTATAATTAAGTACACATATGTATATTTTCAAGTCTGACACTTATGTATATTTTCAAGTCTTTATGTCTTGGGGAATATTGGGAAGTATTTACCTTTCTAGATTGGAATATAGCTACATATACTCTACAGAGTAGTCCCCTAGAATATTCTCAATATTCCTCAAGATATAAAGAGTGAACATCAAAAAGTGTAATGTATTTCTTTGATTCAATTAAATGATAAATAATACATGTATAAATAATACATGTGCATATATCTTCACTTCATTTGATAGCTGTAGAGTCCTGCTGCTATGGGACATAACAGTTTATTGTTACATAATATTTATTCAATCCATATGAAAAACTTAAAGCAATGAACTCTGTGTAGTTAGATAAATGGTAAATGCATATGGAAAATTTAAATAAATTGCATTTTTGGCATCAGGCTGACTTTAAAAAGTCAATAAACCCATAAAAAATGAATTGTACATATCCTACATAAGCTTAAACTTTATAGCATAACATTTTCAAAAGAACTACAATGTTCAGTTTCAATAAACATTTATAAATTGTCGCCTTACAGGCCACATTTTTAAAACACAGTTTAAAATTTACTTATTCAAATAAGGTACATTATATAAAATTAAATGTTATATATACTACAGATATATTTAATGAATAAATAGGTTTTACAAATATCCTTTAGTTCAGAGGCATTGTGTATAATGAAAACAAAATTGAAATTATAAGATTATGTTCAGGTTGTAGATTTGATTGATGTATAAACGTGAGAAAATCATTTAAATTCTCTGGCTCTAAGTTTTTTATCTATAAAATATATGGCTAATGAGAATGTACACCTCATAGGACTATTGAGAAAATTAAATAAAACAATGTATGCAAAAATATTTTTAGGCCAGCTCCTACGCAAATGCCATTATTACCATTCTGTGATAACCCAATATTAACAATCAGTGCATTTTCTTTTCAATTTTATTTTTGGTTAAAAAAACTATTTCTAAAATAATGATAATTGCTGTTAAACATTAATTCATTAACAGACTAGAAACTGGAGCCAATAGGAGTAACGGGCCATGTATTTCTGTTTTCTCCTCTTCAAGCAAGTAAACTCGCTCTCTTACTCCTTTGTGTGTGTGGGGGGGTTTTTTTTAACTCCAATTTGAATGTGTCTCTTCCTGCCTCTTTCAAAGTAGAGAAGCAAAAGTGGGGACCTCAGGAAAAGAGGAAGGGAAACCATAATTTTGTCCTGTTTTTACTTACACAAAAGCCCTCAAACCCCATATTTGGACAGGATAACCTATGGACGTATTAGATTATTATTTAATAAGCATTTGCATGGGTAGCATGTAATATGCAAAACTTTTCAAGTATTTGGACACTTTTAATAAATTAGTTTTAAAATTACTATTACTTCCAACAGAATGCAACAGTCAAGGGATTCATGATAATGTCAGTGTAAATAAGTGTAAAGTTATTTATGTATGAAACTTTTAGGATTATAATTACATAACAAAAACACGTTCAGAAAATACATATTCACTAAATAAAGTAAATTTAGAATTTATACATTTTTTCTGGAAAATATACCATTATAAACATTTGGAGTCTGTGGCTATAAACTTTAAAGGCATCATTAGATGAGTATGAAGACTGGCATTCCACAAATCCTAATCATTAACATACAGGACTTTGTGTAGAGGAGAGAAAGTTCCATGTTTCCTGAGCTAAACTAGACTCTTGTTTTACATGTGAATTCATAAACAAGTAAATATTGTTTTGTTTTGTTTTCTCATAGGTTAGTTGCAAGGTGTCCCAGTTCATTCATCTTTACTTGATGGGCTGTAATTACTTTTGGATGCTCTGTGAAGGCATTTACCTACATACTCTCATCGTGGTGGCCGTGTTTGCAGAGAAGCAACACTTGATGTGGTATTATTTTCTTGGGTGGGGTAAGTGCCATTATATATACCTGCTGATTCAATGGATTAAAAAAGCTTTAGGAGGGTGCAGGTTCCTTTGTAATACAAATATACCAATGAGCAATCATTTTTAAAGAATATCAGGTGATTAATTTTTCCCTATTTTTGTAAATTGTAACATTTTAAGCAAACTATCACTGACTCATCCATTGTTTTCAGTAGTCACAAGTCAACATATAATAGTGTCTGTTTTTCTATTGAATATGCCAATGAATAGTGTATCTCTGCTGAATATGTAGTGACTAAAACAATAGAAGTAGAATCATAAATTATGTATTTAGTCTTTGTACTGTTCTGAATATTCATATTTGCCATGTGTACAATTAAAGCATTGCATTTAAACATCTTTGAAGTTTCATTCTAAAACTATTTGTTTTAAAAAATTCTCATTTTATGATAAGAGTAGAGGAATTCGTAATTGCATAAAGGCAAACAAAAGGTTTATTTTTTTCCATACAATCTCCTGGTTTGGTATTTTTCACAAAGTAAACAGTGATATACTTCTGGCATACTAAAAATAACTGGAATAATACAAAATATGAAGTGCAGAAATTAACTTAACAGGACTATTTTCTAGAAACAAAACTGAAGTGTACTTACCTATTATCATCTATTACCTATCCTATCTCTCTCTCTTTCTCTCTACCTACCATTTATCTATCTAAGCTATCATGTATATCTAAAGAGAAATAGATATACAGATATATATATATATATGTGTGTGTGTATACACACACACACACGATTTTAGTGTATTCTGATTACCTTTATAAAATATTGCCTAATTTTATATTCAGAAGAGCTAATTTAGCTCTTGTGAACGTGCCAAGCATGCCCAATTTTTGGTACATAAAATAATCTCTGTTTTTCTTCTTCTGTTCTTCAAATAATAGATTTCTAGGAGTAATCTCTCTGATAGTGGAAGTTCTTGTGATTCTCAACTTTTTTCCACATCTGATAATGTGCCAAACATTTGCCATTCCATCTCACAGAAAGTACATGAATGCTGAATTTCCTCTAATCCTTGGGGCTTAGGAAATACATCTTTAGACTTAAGCTCTGAAGTCCACTGATTTAAAATGACTTATAACTTATATTAGAATAAAACACACATATATACACACAAACATAAAAATGTAAATACCTAATACTTTATAATGTGTATTGTTGACTATACAAATAATGTTTACTCAACAAATAAATAGTGGGTATTTTGTTTGCTCCTGGAATATCTTTGAATTTTTCTATTTCATTACATATTTTAGAAATACCTTCTGTAGAAAAAAATCCTATTTATTTTCTTTTTCTTTGGTATTACAGGATTTCCACTGATTCCGGCTTGTATACATGCCATTGCTAGAAGCTTATATTACAATGACAAGTAAGAAAATCTCTTTTTATTATTTCTACTGGAACAAAGCAAAATAAAATATTTTAACATAATTTCTTTATGTTTTCTCTAGTTGCTGGATCAGTTCTGATACCCATCTCCTCTACATTATCCATGGTCCAATTTGTGCTGCTTTACTGGTATGTAGTAAATTCTCCTTTCCTTATCATTGCTCACATTTCAACTTTATTTCTGGATCATCTGGCCTATCGTATCCTTCAGGATTCCAGTGGACACTGACAGACATGCGTGCTCATAATGCTTAAATGAATAGAGTTTAGTGAAGGTATCATGTTTGATATACGGGCAGGAAAGGCAAAGGAACTAATTAGTAAGGGATGGTGAGCCATTAGGGACCAACAGTGGGATGCTGTTATCACAGCTAGACCCAAAGAGAGGAGTGTTAGTGCAGTGGGTTGAGCACTGGGAGGAGTCACCCAGTAAGAGATTTGATCTTGAGTAGAGAAAAACAACCACTAGCAAAACCACAGCCTGGCAGAAAAGAAGCAGCAGAAACAAATAATCAAATTTATCTTTATTCCCACACTCTTATCTTTTGGTTTTTCCCATTAGCCAGATGCAGCAGATGTCACAGAGCAAGGAAGTCTGGGTGATACTGTCCATAGACATCAGCCTCCTGTGGTACAGAGAGGAAGAGAGGATGAATCTAGCAAGGAGGGGGTGAGGTAGCAAACAAGAAAAACCAAAATACTTATGTAAATTTTACTTTATAATTATTATCACTTAATGTGAGTGCACCAATTAGACATTTGAGTGTTGTTGCAGAAAAACAGAAGTCAGGTTAGATGCTTTTATTATGCTATTATTATTATTATTTTAATTGAGACAAGGTCTTGCTCTGTTACCCAGACTGGAGTGAAGTAGAATAATCATAGCTCACTGCAGCCCACAGCTCCTGGGTTTGAGGGATCCTCCCAACTCAGGCTCCTGAGAAGCTCAGACTATAGATATACATTACCATGCTTGACGAATTTTTTAAAAACTTTTTATGCAAACAGGGTCTTACTATGTTGTGTATGCTGATCTTGAATTCTTGGGCTTAAGTGATCTATCTGCCTTGTTTTCCAAAAGTGCTGGGGATTACAGGTGTATTACATTATTTGAATGAGAAAGTAAATTAATACAAACTAGCAAACTAGCATGCTTTGTCTAAGAGAGTATTAGAGATCATAATGCAATTACAGTTCTCGGAAATCATATTTTAGTTACAGCTGCTATTAATTTTTTGTTATTATACTTTAAATTCTGGAGAAAATGTGCAGAATGTGCAGGTATGTTACATAGGTATACATATGCCATGGTGGTTTGCTGCACCCATCAACCTGTTATCTGGGTTTTAAGCCCCATAAGCGTTAGGAATTTCTTCTAACGTTATCCCTTCCCTCTCCCCCAACCCCCAACAGGCCCTGGTGTGTGACCTTTCCCTCCCTGTTTCCATGTGTTCTCATTGTTCAGCCCCCACTTATGAATGAGAACATGTAGTGTTTGGTTTTCTGTTCCTGTGTTAGTTTGCTGAGAATGATGGTTTCCAGCTTCATCCATGCCCCTGCAAAGGACATGAAGTCATCCTTTTTATGGCTGCATAGTATTTCATGGTGTATATGTGCCACATTTGCTTTATCCAGTCTATCATTGATGGGCATTTGGGTTGGTTCCAAGTCTTTGCTATTGTGAATTGTGTTGTAATAACCATACATGTGGATGTGTCTTTATAGCAGAATGATTTATAATCCTTTGGGTATATGCCCAAAAATGGGATTGCTGGGCCAAATGAAATTTAAAGTAGTTTTTCTATTTCTGGTTCTAGATCCTTGAGGAATCACTACACTGTCTTCCGAAATGGTTGAACTAATTTACACTCCCACCAACAGTGTATAAGCGTTCCTATTTCTCCACATCCTCTCCAGCATCTGTTGTTTTTCTGACATTTTCATGATTGCCATTCTAACTGGCATGAGATGGTTATCTCATTGTGGTTTTGATTTGCATTTCTCTTACAACCAGCTATGATGAGCTTTTTTGTGTGTGTGTTTTTGGCAGCATAAATGTCTTCCTTTCAGAAGTGTCTGTTCATATCCTTTGCCCACATTTTGATGAGTTTTTTTTTCTTGGATATTTGTTTAAGTTCCTCGTAGATTCTGGATATTAGCCCTTTGTCAGATGGATAGATTGCAAAAATTTTCTTCCATTCTGCAGGTTGCCTCGTCACTCTGATGATAGTTTCTTTTGCTGTGCAGAAGCTCTTTAGTTTAATTAGAACCCATTTGTTAATTTTGGTTTTTGTTGCCATTGCTTTCAGTGTATTAGTCATGAAGTCTTTGCCATGCCTATGTCCTTAATAGTATTGCCTAGGCTTTTGTCTAGGATTGTTATGGTTTTAGGTCTTATGTTTAAATCTATAAGAATAATCTTGAGTTAATTTTTACATAAGGTGTAAGGAAGGTGTCTAGTTTCAGTTTTCTGCATATGGCTAGCCAGTTTTCTCAACACCATTTATTCAATAGGGAATCCTTTCCCCATTTCTTGTTTTTGTCAGGTTTGTCAAAGATCAAGTGGTTGTAGATGTGTGGTGTTATTTCTGAGGCCTCTGTTCTGTTCCATTGGTCTATGTATCTGGTTTTGGTACCAGTACCATGCTGATTTGGTTACTGTAGCCTTGTAGTATAGTTTGAAGTCAGATAGTGTGATGCTTCCATCTTTTATTCTTTTTGCTTAGGATTGTCTTGGCTACAAAGACTCTTTTTGGCTCCATATGAAATTTAAAGTAGTTTTTCTAATTCTGTGAAGAAAGTCAATGGTATCTTGATGGGAATAGCATTGAATCTATACATTACTTTGGGCAGTATGGCCATTTTCATGATATTGATTCTTCCTATCCATGAGAATGGAATGTTTTTTCCATTTGTTTGTATTGTCTATTATTTGTTTGAGCAGTGGTTTGTAGTTCTCCTTGAAGAGGTCCTTCACATCCCTGGTAAGTTGTATTCCTAGATATTTTATTCACTTTGTAGCAATTGTGAATGGAAGTTCACTCATGATTTGGCTGTTTGTCTATTATTGGGGTATAGGAATGCTTGTGATTTTTTGCACATTGATTTTGTATCCTGAGACTTTGCTGAAGTTGCTTATCAGCTTAAGATTTTGGGCTGAGACAGTAGGGCTTTCTAAATATACAATCATGTCATTTGCAAACAGAGACAATTTGACTTCCTCTCTTCCTTTTGAACACCCTTTATCTACAGATGGTATTAAATTCTCTCTCTCTCTCTCTCTCTCTCTGTCTCTCTCTGTGTGTGTATGTGAGAGAGAGAGAGAGAAAGAGAGAGAGAGATTTCTCATGTAAAATTCAAAGTTTTCTCACTTTTATTTTCAGACTCTTTTTCTTTTTTAATACAGATATCGTATTATTTAACTATTTTTGGTAGTTGCAGTTTAGTATATGGTTGTGTTGGAATGCTGTTCAAACCATTCTCAAAATGTATCTCTGTTAAGTCATTCTCACAGAATTTATGATGACTTTTATAAAAATTTTTGATATACCTTAATGTAGATTATAGTGAAACTTTCAAAGGCAGAGGCACTTCTTTCCCTTCCATCTCCTACATTCTAAGAACATGAGTGACACACTATGTTTAAGTTTTACCCTGAGGCTGCTTGGCGTTGCATTCTGTGCTCAAAACAGCACTGAATTGTAGCCCTACCACAGCTGCCTGTGTATCATCTCAGGGCAAGTTTTCTGTTTTGTTTTGTTTTTAACCTCTCTGTGTCTTTGTTTTCTCATGTGTAATGATGAAATAAGAATATATAACTCACAGAGTATTATATGGATTAGATGAGATATTTTGTGCTAAGTGATTTAGCACAGTTAGTACATAGAATATTATAAATTCTTGAAAAAAAGAGACCTTCAAAGTTTCTTCACTTGCAATTTCTGCATGATAACATGCTTCTATTCTGAGGAGAGCTCAAAGAAATTATGATGTATTGTTTGGGCTACCCAGGAGATTCCAGAACAAACACAAGTCAATATTTTATTACAAAAGATCTGGCTGCACAGAGGGATAAATGATTTAAACTTTTAAATCAGTGAGATTCAGGAAGTAAAAGCACCTAGCAAACGCGAAATATAGCAGTATCTACACAATCCTTGGAAAAGTCTGTTCATGTCAACTTTGAGGAAGAAGAGTAAATGATGCAGTAAGGATGAAATATAGGAATATAGCCCATCAAGCTGGTCAGTAGAAAATAAGTAAAAATTCGCCTTGGTTACCTTAAACTTTCCTATCTTATTGGCCTAAAACAAGATTAGAAACCTATTTTTCTACCAGGATAAATTATTCTGTCCTTGTTTAAGTTCCAGAGCTCCTCCTTGGTCCTGGCCAATTCTAAGCTCCTGGGGGGGAGCCTTAGTAATTGTTCTCATTGTCATCATATGTTTTTGTACAACTTTTATAAATAAGATATTTTAACCACATGTCATTCCACTCAAACTTCCTCTGTTACATTTTTATGTCAGCAGGGTGGTATTGGAGTGACTACAGCATTTTCAAGATCCTACTTAGGGGAAGTTGAGAGATGATACATTTAATTTGGTTTCAGTGACAGATATTTAGGTGACCTGAGTGCATAGTTAGGTGATTGTTTGGGAACGACTTCCAGAAACTCTCCTACAGTCACTGTGGAGACTTACCCTGCTTTCTGTCATGACCCCAGCTTGGTATTGCGGTATGAAAATAGCATGATGTGCTACTAACTATGTGAACTTTATGAGTGCACCAGTTTAAGGTTTCTTCTCTTCTACTGAACTAGTTTTGCTCTAGGGTGAGTGAAATTCAGACATAGTTCTTCTAAAATTTAAAATTCTTTTTCTATTTTTGTTTAAAGTAAATGGAAGTATTTACAGAAAATGAAGTAGGATGAGAATTATAATTCTCAAAAACTATGTTTTGTTAAAAAATAGCACAGAAAATAGCATCCGATTCATTCTAATACAATTATTTATAAAATAGCTAATAGAATAATTAATTCCATTGTCAATTCTAGTTTCTAATTTTGCATTTTAAATCAGACTTGACGTTTGAAGAAGCACTTTGCATTTAAATATTTTCATATAATCAGGATCTAAATTGCTACATTTCTACTGTGGTTTTTATAGTTCATTATTAATATATTAAGATTACAAAATATTCTATATTAAGCAGATAAAAGAGCATTATCATCTTTTAAAAAAAAAGCAATAGATGGTTAGGAAGGGAATATATTATGATGAGTGGAATCACAGCTGACATGTTGATTCATCATGTTTCATTCTCACACCTGTTGAAATGGCTTATTCTGCTTCTGTCTTCATCACATTTCTGTGTCTGCAAACATTGCTTTTTATAGATATGTTTCCATTAGGAATATAGTGAGCTGTATATTTTTGAAGCATATGTTCCACTAACTTTTCTAAAAATAGTGGTAGAATATTTTTATGCCCAGTTATTTTTATGACGTGTCAACTTTGCAAATAGATGCAATTTGTTATTTCTTTTCTATAATAAATGGGAAATAATAAATGGATATAAATGATATTTGGTTAATAGTTTGAAAATGTAAGATTATTACACAAAGAGCAGATGCCAGAACTAAGTGAGGAAAAAGAAAAGAGAATAGCAATTAGCCCCTATGGAGTGCTTCTGGAATTAATATTCATTACTCTATGGAGGGCATAAGGAATGGGCATAAAAAAATGGACTAAAGTAAAAGATATTGACTTGGGTGAAAATAAGAAAGCAATAAACTCTGACTTGGGTGAAAATAAGAAAAAGATAAACTTGTATTCAGAGAGAGAAAGAGAAATAAATATGTTTCATAAGACCCTGTTTGCTAAGTAACATTACATTGTCAAAGGTTTATGTCTCCCATCCAAAGAAGCTACTGTGTCTTCAGGAAAGTTGTTAAGGCACAAAAATAGTGAATATATGTCATTACAGATAGTAATCAACAGGATGACTTACAGAATGCCAAATTATTTTAGCTCTACATTGACATGAGTTGAATATTAGCTTTTTCAATTGTATAACTCAGTTCCCTCATAAGTAAAAGAGGATTACATATTATTTTGGAGAGGTGTTGTAAATACTATTGTTACAAAAAGAAACAGGAAAGTTTTTGGTTTAAGAGATGAAAGTGATTATTATGGTATAATATACATTTGGAAAGTATATACTTTGGATATGATTAAGAAGTAATGGTTTAAAAATTAGCATTTCTCTATAAATATTTATTTTCTTTGATATGAAAATGTTCAAAAGCTTTAGTTTTTAGGCCATATAATTTTTTTATTGTATGTAAAAATGAGCTGAGAAAAACACTGAAATATTCCTTAACTGAATATTTTCTACAATAATTCTATCATAATTTAATTTTACTTTTCTAAAACTTGTTTATTAAAATTGATGTACTTGTTAAATGGATAAATAACAATTACAGAAATATAAATTCATATCTTAGGCAATCATACCCTTTAAAATATTCTTGTACATTAAAAATGTTTTAAGATGTATACAATTGGAGATACTTGAATAATATTTCTTAATAAACATGAAATTATTTTCAGATGCCATTTTATTTTCTTTTTAGGTGAATCTTTTCTTCTTGTTAAATATTGTACGTGTTCTCATCACCAAATTAAAAGTTACACACCAAGCGGAATCCAATCTCTACATGAAAGCTGTGAGAGCTACTCTTATCTTAGTGCCATTGCTTGGCATTGAATTTGTGCTATTTCCATGGCGACCTGAAGGAAAGATTGCAGAGGAGATATATGACTACATCATGCACATCCATATGCACTTCCAGGTATGGCATTCTTGATAAGAAAGCAGCTTGAGAAGTTTGGTATTATATATACATAAAGCTCTGGTTTTACTTCTGACTACTTGTACAGCTATTTGTTTACAAATACATGTATCTTTCCATTTGGATTCAGATCATTCTATTTGTCTTTTACAGGGTCTTTTGGTCTCCACCATTTTCTGCTTCTTTAATGGAGAGGTATGGTAATTGATTTGATTCCTTCTATTATTTTATATTTACTATCTATCTATACATGTGTTTAAATAAGATAAAAATCAAAAATTCCCGAGGAACAACCATTTTAAATTTCCATCAGGAAAGAACCATATAATCTCTTTTCATAGGTTTAACTCTCCTTCTCAAAAGCTCAGGTCATAATGGAGTTCAAACGTAGGGAAAAGTCAGCTTCACTTAAAAATATTTCAAAAGATATTCAACTAGTCTTTTGAGATACTTTTTGAGTCCTATTATGTCTGAACTTTTCCCCAGATACAGTGCTAGGTAATCCCAAAGCTCATAGAACACTCTAATAGGAAAAAAGAAATAGGATCATCTCATTTCCCTCTTTCTCTTTTTTGCCTGTCTTGCAATGTAGCCTGCGGAAACAATTTTATGGTGAATACCAAAGCATTTTAAAAAGTTAAACTCTTGGTTATAAAGGGAAGAAATTCAGTGGGTTAGGAAATTTAGAAGAGAATGCTCTAATTTATAACATGACCATGTACTCTTCAATACTTCTAGATTTTATTCATGCATTTCCTACTTGGAAAGTTTTAGGAGTTTTGAAAACTGGTAACATATTTCTTATGCATACAAATGTGTTACAACTCAGTAATTGGAACTCTACTGACTTAGCTTCTTATATGTTTTAATCTGCTGGAAATAGTTTAACCTGTAGGAGGATTTTGGTGAAACTGAGCAAAGTTTAGAACTCCAGACAGCAGCTGAGTGAGGCACAGATGCTTGTTAACTAAAACTTATCATAAACCTTCAGATGGGGAACACATGAGACTAGTTGGTATAACCTATGACAACCATTCCTATAAAACAAATGAACATTACAAATCATGCACACATTATGAAAAATTGTAACATGTTATTTACTCTTGCTTGAGTAATATTTTACTTCTTCTTCTTGGCATATAATAAAATTCAATGTTTAGTTTTTAATTAAAATATATTTCAAGTTCAACACATAAGTATTTATTTTATATATTTATTTATTTATAATGAGGTACAGAACTCTCATACATTGTAGACTATATTTCATACCTTTAAGTGGTACTTCCATAATTATTCTGCTATACAGAAGACAAGAGCAACTTTTTCTGAAATCAATGAGAAGTACAGACAAAATGCTGTTACAAAAAATAGATAAATCACTTGTTTGATAAATCATTCAAAGATTTTATTCTATATCTCTATAAATTTAATTTATATACCCTGAATTAGATCATCCTAAATGCTACTTGTGTAAGATGTAATAATTAAATATAGATGAGAGTGATATGAATGACATGCTAAAGAATATGCATGAAATAGGAACGGTAGACCTCTGTATCTACAGAAACAGATTTTAACTCTATAAAGTAAATTTTAAATATTCAAAACATACTCACTAGTAAAATATTTTGTAATAGGAGGCAGTGTTGAATAAACACAGCGAGGTATTTAAATACCAAAGATGCTACTTTTCATCTTGGCTGTGATATTTCGGGAAATGACAACCTTCAGGAGTCTGGGAGTCTGTGATTTTGTTTTTTGTTTTTTGTTTGTTTGTGATGGATTCTGGCTATGTCGCCAGGCTGAAGAGCAGTGGTGCAATCTCAGCTCACTGCAACCTCGGACTCCCGGGTTCAAACGATTCTCCTGCCTCAGCCTCCCAAGTAGCTGGGACTACAGGTGTTTGCCACCACACATGGCTAATTCTTGTTTGTAGTAGAGTCAGGGTTTCATCATGGTGGCCAGGATGGGCTTGATCTCTTGATCTCTTAATGGTGATCCACCCAGTGCAGCCTCCCAAAGTGCTGGGAGTACAGGCATGAGCCACTGTGCCCAGCCTGTGTCTGTCTTTCTTAAAGGGAAATAAAAGCAAATTCTCTACATAGGTCTCAGAAAGATAAATACAAGCTAAGGAAGACAAAGTTTTTAGTATCATGCTCCACTTCATTAGATACTCAGTATACTCATTATTTGATATATTAAATCACTCATTTTTAAAAATACATTACAGAAACATTAGTCATTTTAGATCAAAATCCCCAAATTGGCCCTTTTGTGTAGAAAAAGTGCCCAGGGAATATCTAAAGTAATACCTAACACTCCTGTTACACTCTGAGTAAACAAAAGGGACACAGAACCTTGATTGTCTGCCATGTCCTAAAATTGAGAAAATTTTGACATTGGAAAATTACAATAATACAAATCTTTGAGCTAGGCAGTTGCCAAATCCTTTGGTTCCTCACAACATTTCTAATATTCATCCCTTTTCTTCATCTCTAGAGATAAAATCCCTGTTTGAGTATGACTCATTTCTCATCTTAAGAAATACTATAATCCCTCCCTTTTTGTCTCAATGTCTCTTTTTCCCACTCTCATAACATGAAGAAACAATTGCCAAATTCATTTTGTTCCAACTATGTCATGTACTTCTTAAAATCATTTGCTCAGGCTTAGTTTCCTTGTTATCCATATTAGGTCAAGTGCCTGCCTTTAGCTTAAAATTTGTATTTTTTTTCCTCTCCCACCTTTTATGTACTTTTCAGCCAACATCTTCCTATTAGCATTTCTCACTAGTTAAATGAATGTGCCTTTACAAGTGCTTGGATTACCTTCATTTAATCCCTAGTGCCCTTAGACAAAGGTGTACACTGTGATCATAAACTAAGGACTCTAGTCATCAGAAGAGTATATTTAACACCTGAAGGTAGATACTCTAGAAGATGAACAAAAAAATTTGCTGTAAACAATTAAACCCAAATTATTTAATGAGAACTAGGTAGACTTTTTATGAAAGCTCTGTAAAATATTTTAAATTGATTCACATTAAGGAATATAAAGTTAGTTCCTTATCTGGTGTTAATGGGTATATAAAGTTGTAATGTTACATTCTAAACATTTGCCTGACTACCTATATCATAAACCAATAAAAGCATATTCATATCTTTAATAATACTCAGCTATCTCCCCTTACAATGGAAATTTGCTTGTTTCTCTTCCCAATTAATATTTTCTCATTGAAAGTTTATTAAGAGTAGTCACTTTAATGTCCTATTTAACAGGTGTGATATTGTATTAGAGGAAGCAGAAGAAACATGTAACATCCTTAGAGCAAATAACATAAACAAATAGGACTACAAGGCCTGTGGATCTTTAGTTACGTTTATTTTTAACTATAGTAAAACCCCACAGTTTAAGAAATTGGTTTTTTATGGTTTTTCTGATGATTTAGTTGCAAAGAAGAAATAGAATGATGACCTTAATCAAAGTAGATATTTTAAGAGCAAACACTCATATATTTCAATAGCCATTTTCCTCCCAAATTGAATTTAAGCTTTCTTTTTTAAGACTTTAAGTAGTAGACTCATAGCTAAGATATGGCTTCCTGTCAGCGTTTTTTCAACCTTTATATAGAATTTTTATACAAAGCTATATTCTACTTCCTCTCTGCCAGAAACTATATTGTTTATGTACTCAACCAGTCCAGTATTTAGTAATAAAATGAGGAGATATTTATGAAACAAAAAATAACGATCAGAAAATTTCTCATCAGATGTTCTACTTCCTCTCTGCCAGAAACTATATTGTTTATGTACTCAACCAGTCCAGTATTTAGTAATAAAAATTCTCATCAATGGGCATTTTTACTTTGAATCTCTGAATATTTATTTAAAATTCGCAATCTGAAGCCCTTCAATTTGTAGTTTGCTCATGATCTTGAGGTTGTTACATATGCAGATGCTAGTTCAATCCTGCGTGATCTGCACATGTACCCCGGAACCTAAAGTACCATAAAAAAATTACCTTAATTTAGATATTTTATTTACTAAATTGAGAGGAAAGTTTAACTTTAGCAAGATAAATTTTATTGCCTTATAAATGCTTTCATTTTCAAACCATATTTACATGAATATGAATTATTTTTTTCAAATATGGTTACCGTGTATTTTTTAAATTAAGCTTGAAAGTCCTGAAGTTACTGAACTTCATCATAACTTTTAATATCAAGTTATTTCATTTTAATTATATAATTTTTGAACTATGCAGTAGAGAGCAACTAAATGGTAATTTTAATACCTCATGCTGAGTTCTACCTAAATAAATTGTTGGCTTTATCTTTGCTCCTTCTTTTTTTCCACATGAAATGAGACAATAAAACTTTGGGTTTATTTTAAGCGACAGAATATAAGATACTTTAACAGGAACTTCGAAGTATTCTGTAAAGCTGCAGACCTCCAAAGAATGTAATTGGAGAAATTGAGGTTTTGTGTGTGTGTGTGCTTTTTTAAAACTGATTAGACTAGGAAATAACAAGAAAGAAGTCAGCTCTTTTTAAAGATTTAATATTAATTTGTATACATGAATATAGTGAAGAGAAAGTTGAAAAATTCTGTACAAGTACTAGAAAGTTAAACAATTATTACATAAGTATGTAATGATTGTAATTCTTACACAGGAATTACCAGAAAATCGCTGTGAGACACTCAGATTCCCTTTAGAAAAGTCCTGAAAGAGCCAACGAGCAATATAGAGCTTGGGGAAGACCATTTAAAGCAAACGCACTTTGGGTCACAGAGATTTGGCTAACACATTCATAATGTAGAAGCAGCTGCTTCAAGCCAGTGTGCTCACTCATCAGACCTGGAAAAGTCCAGGTACTTGAGCTAGAGATGTGTTTAAATATTCTCATTGTGCACATTGACTGACACTGAAGAAAACTGTCAGTACATGGGCACAAATGAGAATATTTAAATACATACACTTCAGTGCCTTACATTCCATTAAGAGCAATATTTTTACTGCATAGGAACACCTACCCCTGATCTCTATCTTCGAACATAGGGGAAGGAAGTCATTAAACTCCAAATTCATTCAGCAGAAGAGGATTCAAATATGTAAAAGTGGAGTTGTTACATTCCTAAATATATTTTTATACTATTCATCACATTTATATTTATTTGTTCAACACTTTTCTTTCCTCTATGTAGTAAACTCCTTGAGGACAAATATCATGCTACTTTTTTAAGAATGTAGCATAATTTCTGGCATACGGGCATCACTCAAAAATAAAGTTTGCTGCCACTGCTGCTGCTGATGATGATGATTTGTATTCTTCATAGTCTAACTTTTCTTTTGTATATCCTTCACTTCTTTTATGCTGTTATGAATTGTCTCCTTATTCTTTTAATAAAGACATTAATATAAACTAGATACTGGACATGAAGTCTTATAAATGGGGTTTCTGATTACCTGTTTGCCAACAATAAATACATAGGCATTATAAAAGCTTTGAAGACAAAACATGGCATGAAAAATATTAATGGAATGTAAAGTACAATGTAATTGTAATATATTTCCTAATGTAAAGATGGTACACTTAATTTTTAAAATTAGGTAAGAAAATGAAGCTGTATTATTCACGAATTAACACATTTTTTTAAAAAAGCTCTTCTCCAAGACCTGTTTAGTGCTTCAAAAACAGTGTCTTCATTTCAATTAATGGGTTGCTCTTTTTCTGTTTCTTTTTGATTGATAGGTTCAAGCAATTCTGAGAAGACACTGGAATCAATACAAAATCCAATTTGGAAACAGTTTTTCCAACTCTGAAGCTCTTCGTAGTGCATCTTACACAGTGTCAACAATCAGTGATGGTCCAGGTTATAGTCATGACTATTCTAGTGAACACTTAAATGGAAAAAGCATCCATGATATTGAAACTGTTATCCTAAAACCAGAAAATATATATGATTGAAAATAGAAGGATTGTTGCTTGACTGTTTTGTGCCACTCCTAACTCAAGGACTTGGATCCATGACTCTATAGCCAGAACGACTTCAATATCAAATGATTTTTGAAACTCATAAAGAAAAGCCTCACATGAAATTAGTAGTGTGTTGATAAGAGTATAACAGCCAGCTCTATGTGGGAAAAAAGAAATCCTGGTTTGTAATGTTTGCCAGTAAATATTCCCACTATGCCTGATGTGATGCTACCAACATGACATCACCAAATGTGGAATTGGAGAAAAGCACAATCAACTTTTCTGAGCTGGTTGGTGTAAGCCAGCTTCAGCACACCATTGCATGAATTCACAGATAAATGACTGCAAAATTTCCTAAACATGTTGGGCATGATTCTACTTTTATTGCTCAAAGAGACCTAGCTAAGACCTATAGACATAAAGGGGAAATTAGTTTTTAGTTTTAAAACTCTTCATCCCATCTTCTTTGGTGCATTTGACATTTTTCACCCAGAGAGTGCTGTAGTTCTTTTTGTAATTACCCTTTCAAATCGACAATACCAGAAGTTAATTATCCTTTTTGGCTTTCTTCTCGCTATGAAAAGTAACTGAGTATTATTGTTACATCTACTCATTTGCTGACACATCAGTTATACCTTGTGGCATATCCATTGTCGAAACTTGATGAACAGGATGTATAATACACAATCCTACTTCTATATCATTAGGGAAACATCTTAGTTGAAGCTAAAAACACCTTGTCAGCTTCTTCCTGTCTTACAGTGAGAGGGAATTCATTTCCCTGTACCTATAAATAGAAATTTTGTCTGTTTCATTTCTACTGTATAAACAAATTAGCAATCATTTTGCATAAAGAAAATCAATGAAGGATTTCTTATTTTCTTGGAATTTTGTAAAAAGAAATTGAGAAAAATGAGTGTGTAAATACTCCATTGTTTTATTTTGTAGTCTTAAATGAAATATATACAACCTAGGTAATTTTTAAAGCAAATATATAAAGCAAAAACGTTTGCATGTGAATATCTGATACTGTATCTGGGCTTATTTTTAAAAAATGAAATAGAGTCTGGAATTCTATATTTGGTGAATATTTTATAGACAACCAGATGCCAGCATCAGAAGTCTGAGAACTAAGAGAACAGAAGCATCTATAATAAGATGAAGATATTTATTTTAAAAACACAAGATCACTATTATTGAATACATTTGTTTTGATGACTCATACCTAATTAATAGGTGTGTTTGACATTTTTTTTTTCATTTTGACAATGAACTCACATTCTAATCCAGAAATTTTAAACAACTACTGTAATAAATACCAATCTGCAACTTTATAGATTTTACCCCATTAAAATATTACTTTACTGACTTTTACTATATGAATTTATATAGCTTTGGAAATGTCCCAGGTTATTCAAGAAAAAAAAACTAAAGGGATACAATATGTATTATATACAATGCTTTTGTATTTTAATACAGCTACTGTATATAATACAAACCAGGGAAATACTTGAATATATCATTGAGAAAGAATTATTGTCAGACCTTATTGAATTATAGTCAGACCTTACTAAGTAAAGGTAGAAGAAAGCCTTGCTAATGAATTAAAGTGACATTTATATGGGATTCAGTTCCTTTAATGTTATTTTCCATTGAAATCTCTGAAGAACAAGAATGACTTCAATTAGTAAAAGTCCATTTTGGAAAGTCAGGTGTCTATGTTTTTTAAGTGTCAGTCTGCTTAAAATAGATGAAACTAATGAATTACTCATCATAAGTTGTTTCTTAAGCTATCAATAGATGGTGAGTTCAGAACTCATTTAAAATTGTTAAGAAAAATTATCTAAATTCGTAGGAATTAACATATTTAATGGTCTGGTCAGTACATTTATAATTTATGCATGAAAACGTACTGTTTGGTTTCAAACATGAATATGATAATAAGCTGCCATAGAAAGGATCGCAGGCTGTTCTGGAACTTCAACTGCCTAAGTTATAAAATTCATTTTAATAAACTCAGTTATTACTTATTTATTATTCAAAGACACATATTTAAATCCTTTGCAGACCTTGTTAAAATACATCAGTCTTCTTCTAGCTAAACTGTCAAGTCTCAGCCATCTTGACAGTAGAAGTGACAGTAAAAATGGTGAATTATCAAAGATTATATTAAAATGAACATATAATTTTCAAGTATTTTTGTTGTGCTTTTATAATATTAATTCTAGATCAGATTTCTTGTATAGCCAGGGTTTATCTGTTGTACAGTCTTGAGGCATACCAGTCCTCCATGATTAATCACTGTTAGTTATCTATCCATATATTTTTAGAATTAATATTTTTAAGTGTTAGATTCCTCAAAAGCTGAATGCTACTTAAGATTTTTGTGTCATACTTGTAAAGCAAAGTAAATCTGACACTTTTTAAAAGCAAACTTCTTTGTTATCAAAAAACTGATTTGGGGAATTTCTAGTTTTAAAATGTAGATCTACCATTTTACTGTGATTACTTGTGAAAGTCACATTTTAATTTTCTAAATTCTAATTTGTCATTTTTTTTCCTAAAGTTAACTTCCAGTGCATTTATTCATAAAATATTGATTCTGGAATGTAGTGTTTGTTTAAATGTAATCCAATGTACATTGAATTACTAGTAATTGCTGTTCTGTATTTATTGCTTATAAATTTTTTGAATGTGAACTTACTTTTAATTTTCTCTTGGTTTTAATCTACGAGTAGAAGTCACTAGTTATCTGTAAAAAATATATTCAAGATATTCTGATCAATTATAACAATTTATGTTATGCCTAAAGTATATCTCGAGTTTTTGATTGTATGAAAATATTAAAGTTATGGGTTAAAGTTGATTTTCATTGATATTTACTAGAATGCCACATAATCTAATTTATAAACATGATTTATGCAGTAATCAGTGGGATACTTCTAAAATAATTAACAAATATATCTCTTTTGTCCTCTCTAAAGTCTTCAGTAAACCAGTAAATAAATTCAATAAACCAATTAAGAAAAAATTGTGATTTGTTTTTCAAACTAAAAATATCCAAATATACTACACTGGATGCAAACTCCTTCTTATGCTGAAAGAAGAAAAAGGATGTCTCAAAATAAGAAAATGTTCAGAAATTCATCTCCTTTCTCTACTGTATTTCGTTTTATAGTTTGTATTAAATATTAGAAAGAAAAAGAAATATTTAAAGATATTTTTTAAAGAAGGCATAATCATGGCTCTCACACAAATACATAATGAAAATGCTTCAAATATTTTTTAACTCATTAATTAATGAAGGAACAACTAAGATGTTACGACAATTCAAAGGAGAGTACAAAAATTATACTTATATGAGAATATTTAAAATGCTGAAATAATTTTATGAATAAGTGCAAAACCACTGTATCCTTTGGGCAATAATCAGTTGCATTCCACTTAATAACTAATGTTTATTTTTATAATCAAGAATAGTGTATGTTATTATTAGTTTTCTGGAAAAAAGTGCCCATTTAAAACACTTTTGCAATTTTTTTCTTACACTCTCTTCCTTTTTAATATACTAATCCCAAGGAAAAAATATCCTTGATTAAAAATATTGCTAGTCTCATAATGTTTCGCCTATAGTTTATATAGATACATGAGAGTGTTAATTTACAATATAGATCTCTTTAAGTTGGTTTTACAAATCTAGAACCATACTGCACTTTTTAACAACTTCATTGAGATATGCTTCACATATTACATAATACTTCATATTCAAAGCAGTTTTTAGTATATTAGTAAAGTATATTTTAATACATCCAAAGAGACACTATACCATCACCACAGTCAATTTCATTATATTTTTATGACCTTGAGACAAAACAATATGTCTTTTAGCCATCAATTCTCTATCCCCCATCCGTACTTTCATTCCAGCTATAAACACAACTAATTTACATTTTGTCTCAATAGATTTCCCTATTCTCAACTTTCATACAAATGGAATAATATAGTATGTGATGTTTTGTGAGAAAATTATTTCACTTGTGTTTTTATTATTATTATTATACTTTAAGTTCTCAGGTACATATGCAGATTGTGCAGGATTGGTACACAGGTATACACATGCCATGGTGGTTTGCTGCATCCATAATGGTTTTAAGATTCATTTATGTTTTGGTATGTCAATATTTCTTTTTATTCCACTGTGTGAACACACCACATTTTATTTCTTTATTTGTCTATTAATGGACATGTTGTTTGGCTTTTACTTTTTGGTCATTATAAATAATACACCTATAAACACTTCTTTGCAAGATTTTGTTTGTACACAAGTTTTTGCTTCTTCTTTTCAGGACATTTGCAAAACAGCCAGATCATTTTACATTTATGCCTGTAGCGCATAAAGTGTTCTGATTTCTCCACATTTTCCTCAACACTTCTTATTACCAGTTTTTTTTTTATTTTAGCCATCCTAATGGATATGAAATGGTTTCATGTAGTTTAATTTGCATTTCTCTGACATTAACTATGTCAAGCATCTTTTCATATGTTTATTGGTCATGTGTAATCTTTTTAGAGCAATGTCTATTTGGATTCTTGGTCCATTCGCAATTTGGTTGTCTTTTTATATAATCTCATATGCTTATATCTGCAAACATATATGTACAGGTCACTTTTCAGATAATTTGCAAATACTTTCTCCCATTCTGTGAATTGTCTTGTCTCTTTCTTAATTCTATCATTTGAAGCATAAAAGTTAATTTTTTATGAAGAACAATGTTTTCTTTTGTTGCTCATGCTTTTAGGGTCACATCTAAGAATCTTTAGCCAAATTCAAAATCATGAAGATTTACTCCTATAAAATCTTCTAAAGAATGTATAGTTTTTACATATATATTTAAGTCATTGGCACATTTTGAGTTAATTTTTGTTTATGGTGTGACATAAGAGTCTAGCTTTTTTGCTTGTGGCTTTTTTGTTCTAGGATCATTTGTTGAAAAGACCATTTTTGCTGTTGAAAGGTCTTGGTATCCTTATCAAAAAGCAATAGCCATAGATTCGTGGGTTTAGTTTAAACTTCTATTTCACTGATACAAATATATGTCTGTCTTTGTGCTCAAATCACACTGTCTTTTTTTTTTTTTTAATTTTTTATTGGATTATAGGTTTTGGGGTACATGAGCAGAGCATGCAAGACAGTTGCGTAGGTATACACATGGCAGTGTGCTTTGCTTTTCTTCTCCCCTTCACCCACATTTGGCATTTCTCCCCAGGCTATCCCTCCCCACCTCCCCCTCCCACTGGCCCTCCTCTTTTCCCCTCAATAGACCCCAGTGTTTAGTACTCCCCTTTCTGTGTCCATGTGTTCTCATTTTTCATCACCCACCTATGAGTGAGAATATGCGGTGTTTCATTTTCTGTTCTTGTGTCAGTTTGCTGAGGATGATGTTCTCCAGATTCATCCATGTCCCTACAAATGACACGAACTCATCATTTCTGATTGCTGCATAATATTCCATGGTGTATATGTGCCACATTTTTCCAATCCAGTCTATTATCAATGGGCATTTGGGTTGATTCCAGGTCTTTGCTATTGTAAACAGTGCTGCCATGAACATTCGTGTACATGTGTCCTTATAGTAGAACGATTTATAGTCTTTTGGATATATACCCAGTAATGGGATTGCTGGGTCAAATGGAATTTCTATTTCTAAGGCCTTGAGGAATCGCCACACTGTCTTCCACAATGGTTGAACTAATTTACACTTCCACCAACAGTGTAAAAGTGTTCCTTTTTCTCCACATCCTCTCCAGCATCTGTTGTCTCCAGATTTTTTAATGATCGCCATTCTAACTGGAGTGAGATGGTATCTCAATGTGGTTTTGATTTGCATCTCTCTGATGACCAGTGACAATGAGCATTTTTTCAAATGATTGTTGGCCTCATATATGTCTTCTTTAGTAAAGTATCTGTTCATATCCTTTGCCCACTTTTGAATAGGCTTGTTTGTTTTTTTCCTGTAAATCTGCTTGAGTTCTTTGTAAATTCTGGATATCAGCCCTTTGTCAGATGGGTAGACTGCGAAAATTTTTTCCCATTCTGTTGGTTGCCGATCCACTCTAGTGACTGTTTCTTTTGCCGTGCAGAAGCTGTGGAGTTTCATTAGGTCCCATTTGTCTATTTTGGCTTTTGTTGCCAATGCTTTTGGTGCTTTGTTCATGAAGTCCTTGCCTACTCCTATGTCCTGGATAGTTTTGCCTAGATTTCCTTCTAGGGTTTTTATTGTGCCAAGTCTTATGTTTAAGTCTTTAATCCATCTGGAGTTAATTTTGGTGTAAGGTGTCAGGAAGGGGTCCAGTTTCTGCTTTCTGCACATGGCTAGCCAGTTTTCCCAACACCATTTGTTGAACAGGGAATCCTTTCCCCATTGCTTGTTTTTGTCAGGTTTATCAAAGATTGTATAGTTGTAGATATGTTGTGTTGCCTCCGGTGCCTCTGTTTTGTTCCATTGGTCTATATCTCTGTTTTGGTACCAGTACCATGCTGTTTTGATTACTGTAGCCTTGTAGTATAGTTTGAAATCCGGTAGTGTGATGGCCCCCGCTGTGTTCTTTTTGCTTAGAATTGACTTGGCTATGCGGGCTCTCTTTTGGTTCCATATGAAGTTCATGGTGGTTTTTTCCAGTTCTGTGAAGAAAGTCAATGGTAGCTTGATGGGGATGGCGTTGATTCTGTAAATTACTTTTGGCAGTATAGCCATTTTCACGATATTAATTCTTCCTAACCATGAACATGGAATGTTTCTCCATCTGTTTGTGTCCTCTCTGATTTCGTTGAGCAGTGGTTTGTAGTTCTCCTTGAAGAGGTCCCTTACGTTCCTTGTGAGTTGTATTCCAAGGTATTTTATTCTTTTTGTAGCAATTGCGAATGGCAGTTCGCTCTTGATTTGGCTTTCTTTAAGTCTGTTATTGGTGTAGACGAATGCTTGTGATTTTTGCACATTGATTTTATATCCTGAGACTTTGCTGAAGTTGTTTATCAGTTTCAGGAGTTTTTGGGCTGAGGCAATGGGGTCTTCTAGGTATACTATCATGTCGTCTGCAAATAGAGACAATTTAGCTTCCACCTTTCCTATTTGAATACCCTTTATTTCTTTTTCTTGCCTGATTGCTCTGGCTAGAACTTCCAGTACTATATTGAATAGGAGTGGTGAGAGAGGGCATCCTTGTCTAGTGCCAGATTTCAAAGGGAATGCTTCCAGTTTTTGCCCATTCAGTATGATATTGGCTGTTGGTTTGTCATAAATAGCTTTTATTACTTTGAGATACGTTCCATCGATACCGAGTTTATTGAGGGTTTTTAGCATAAAGGGCTGTTGAATTTTGTCAAATGCCTTCTCTGCGTCAATTGAGATAATCATGTGCTTTTTGTTTTTGGTTCTGTTTATGTGGTGAATTACGTTGATAGACTTGCGTATGTTGAACCAGCCTTGCATCCCTGAAATGAATCCTACTTGATCATGATGAATAAGTTTTTTGATTTGCTGTTGCAATCGGCTTGCCAATATTTTATTGAAGATTTTTGCATCTATGTTCATCATGGATATTGGCCTGAAGTTTTCTTTTCTCGTTGGGTCTCTGCCGGGTTTTGGTATCAGGATGATGTTCGTCTCATAAAATGATTTGGGAAGGATTCCCTCATTTTGGATTGCTTGAAATAGTTTTAGAAGGAATGGTACCAGCTCCTCCTTGTGTGTCTGGTAGAATTCGGCGGTGAACCCGTCTGGACCTGGGCTTTTTTTGTGAGGTAGACTCTTAATTGCTGCCTCGACTTCAGACCTTGTTATTGGTCTATTCATAGTTTCAGCTTCCTCCTGGTTTAGGCTTGGGAGGACACAGGAGTCCAGGAATTTATCCATTTCTTCCACGTTTACTAGTTTATGCGTATATAGTTGTTTGTAATATTCTCTGATGATGGTTTGAATTTCTGTGGAATCTGTGGTGATTTCCCCTTTATCATTTTTTATTGCATCTATT